ACTGTAAATACATATTACAAAAACGTTTTCGACTGGTCGAAATGTTTATACCCAGAGTAGTAACTGAATATTCTAGCTCTAGACAGAAATAAAGAAGTAATTATTAATAGTTAACCGTTATATGACTAATGTTGAAATAATATACAATGATCTATGTAAGCAATACAGCACACTTGTGTACAGCATAGCTACCCTAATTATAAATGATATGCTAAATATTGACAATATATTTGAGTCAGTAATGGGAAAGAAGGCATTGATTCAACACCACAACCTTTTTGATTTCTTACTTGTAGATTTTCTACTTTAAACCCCGATTCACGCACTAAGTAAGGTTAAAAGCAGTTACCGTTAGATATGTTAGTATTGTAAAAGCATTTTCAATATATATTAACAATTTATCTTATAGTGCAACTTTCTATCTGTAACTCTAAGAATCAGCTTTACTATAGTCTGAAAAAAAAACAGCACTCAAACTCTAACAATCACATAGATATAATTACCTAAAACTGAACAATCTTAAAACTTATTTAAACTATATAGAAATTTTATTTTATTTTTGTAGTTTATCAGGTGATACGCATTTACGGTAAACCATTGTTTTATATAACATCATCTTATAAATCTGAGGGTTTTCTTTATATCGGACTTTCCCCTTTTTATATTTTTTCTCATTTTGTATTTATCATTTTATTGGTTTATTGGTTATATAGGCTATTTCACTTGCGTGAGCCATCACTACGCATTCTTTTTGTTTTAATGTTAGAATAAAAGAGGAGATGTTGACAGCGATTATTCCTCGATAAAGAAACGTCGATTTACTATTAACCACCTGCGAGACTGACTGTTGCCACGGGTACACATGTCAATCGATTTACTTTACCAGAACAATAGAGCTGCATTGAGTAGATTCCTAAGTGATGGGATCGACCTGTAAGATCTACAAAGGTTAGAGATGAAAGGATTCTGATTAACTGAGGTGAAGAGAGCTGAAAGACATCGGGTGGCTTTTGACCCCACCCTAGATTCTATCACGATTGAACAATAGGGCTCATGCTCATTGGTCCATTCGTCACTCTCACGAAGAATGTCCCTTGTAGTTCATGTTTCACTGAACTTTTTGTCGTATGCAACACATCATTTTGAATGAAAGAAAGAAGTATATTGTAAGTTTATGCCCGTACAAGCTATGTACAGGCCATGAATAAACATGAAAAATTACAGTAATATCTTACCTAAACTATGCATACTGATGTGAACTCTTATTTACAGGTTCAACTT